AGAAATTCGAGTAGGATGATAAGTGTGAAGAAGCATTCCAACTCTTGAAACAGAAGCTAGTTACAACACCAGTGCTTACACTGCTAGACGGCATTGGTATCTATGATGTGTATAGTGATTCATCAAAGAATGGCTTGGGGTGTGTGTGCTTATGCAAAATAGGAAGGTGATTGCATACACATCAAGCCAGTTAAAGACCCATGAAGTAAATTACCCAACCCATGATCTAGAACTTGCTGTAATTATATTTGCACTAAAGATCAGACATCATTACTTGTATGGAGTGACATGTAGAATTTACACAAACCATAAGAGCTTGAAGTACGTTTTCACTCAAAAGGATTTGAACTCTCGCCAAAGGAGATGGTTAGAGTATACGATGGATTATGACTTGAACATACAGTATCATGAGGGGAAAGCAAATGTAGTTGCAGATGCTCTAAGTCGTAAGACCAGTCATGGATTGAATACTTTAGTAGTGGATGATGAGTTATTTAGGGAAATGAGGAAAATGAATTTAGAAGTTGTAGAATGGGGAGTACCAGCTGTCATTCTTGCGAATTTGACTATCCAACCAACCATATTCGATGGAATAAGGGAAAACCAAGTAGGAGATGTAAAATTGGTTAGGATTCGTGAGAAAATAAAAAACTGCAAAGCTACAAATTTTAAAATTCATGAAAATGGGAGTTTGAGGTACAAAGGTCGATGGTGTGTAACCCAAAAATGCGAGGAAATGAAAATAAAGCTAATGGAAAAGAGACACAATACACCCTACTCAGTGCACCCAGGAGGGGATAAGCTATATAAGGATTCGAAAAATGTGTATTGGTGGCCTAGAATGAAGAATGAAGTTGCGGAATTTGTAGCAAAGTGTCTGACTTGTCAAAAGGTGAAAATAGAGCATAAAAGACCCCTAGGGACGGTGCAATCGTTGGAAATTCTTTGCTTAAAGTGGGATTACATTTCAATGGATTTTGTAACTTGCCTTCCAAAATCAAAAAGTGGAAATGACACCATTTGGGTAGTGGTGGACAGACTTACAAAATCTGTGGTGTTCATACCAATGAAGGAGACTTAGAAGATGAAGCAACTTGCAAAAGCTTACATCAAGAATGTTGTGAGTTTACATGGAGTTCCAAAGGATATTGTGTCTGACAGAAATTCCAGGTTTCTTTCAAATTAAAATTCTGGAAAAGTGTACAGGAAAACTTAAGTACGACACTTAAGATGAGTACAACGTTTCACCCTGCCACAGATGGAAAAACTGAAAGAACCATTCAAACCATGGAGGACATGTTGAGAACTTGTGTTATAGATTTCCAAAGAGGATGGAGGATAGCTTGGATTTGATTGAATTTTCCTATAATAATAGTTATCACGCGAGCATAGGAATGGCTCCATTTGAGGCATTATATGGGAGGAAGTGTCGTAGTCCAATTTGTTGGAACGACATAAGTGAAACAATGATTCCTGGGCCTCAAATGATTGAAGATACAGTGAAACAAGTAAGGGAAATTCAAGCCAAGATTCAAGCAGTTCAAAATTGCCAAAAGAGCTACTCAGATTTGAAGCGTAGAGAAGAAGAATTTGAAGTTGGTAACAAGGTGTTATTAAAGGTGTCACCAATGAAAGGGGTGATGAGGTTTGGAAAGAAGGGAAAACTTATTTCAAAGTATATTAGCCCATATGAGATACTGCAAAAGATAGGAAAGGTAGCCTACAGGTAGGCATTACCCGTGGAACTAAGCAAAGTGCATGATGTATTTCATATATCCCAATTGAGAAGATATATCCCTAATAAGTCTCATATATCACAAACTGAAACCATTGAATTAGACCAAAGTTTAACCAATGAAGAGAGACCTGTCAAAATTCTTGACAGTATAGTGCGTAGTACACACAATAAGAATTTTAAAATTGTAAAAGTTCTATGGTCTAACCAAGAATATGAGGAAGCCACTTGAAAAGAAGAAGATGAAATGAAAAATAAATACCCAGAGTTGTTTCAGGTATGTTGAGTTACAGAGACGTAACTTGTTTTCTTTAAGCAGGGTAGAATGTGGTAGAATTTCGCGCTTTTTCCTTATATTTTCAGTTATTTTTATGCATTTTGCACAATTTTAACAAGTATTTTGAGTTATGGTGTTCTCAAAGAGACACGAAAAGGTAAAGGTATGAAAAAAATACAACAATATTATACAAAGAGAGGAAAAAGTTTGAATTTTTTTTCCTAAGTTTCGGGATGAAACTTCTTTTAAGGGGGCAGACTGTAATACCTCGTATTTTTATACGTATTTTATTTAAAATAAGTATTTTGTGAAGTATTGAAATAATTTGAAATGTTTTATTCATGGTTTTTAATTATATATTTTAAATAAGTTTGGAAATATTTTATAAAAGGAAAGTTTGTTTAATTAATTATTTTATTTAAGTTCGAGTTTAATTTAAGAAAGTATTATTTTAGTAATTTTTTATTGGGAATGGGATTAGGTGATATGTCTATATTATATAGTGGTTTACCCTCGTCCTTTGGTCATAATTGGTAGTGTTTTTGGATCTTTAGAGCCACTTTTCTTACTAATTGGTATTTTCTAGTGTTTTTGTAATTTTGGTTAAGTTTTGTAGGGAATTGCACATTTGGAGCATTTTTCCAGGATTTGTGAAGCAACTACGAGCATTGGAGGAGCACAACCACTTTTCGTAGCCCAAGGCCGGTTAGTGTCATCAAATCGGTTATTAAGGGCTCGAAGTATGAAATATAGAGGCGTTGGGCGGAAGAATCAAAGCCCAATCAAGTGTCCAAGAGCCGCCAAAGAACTTTGCCCGATCAGGCTGCCCTCGCCCTGAGGCGTGCCCGACCGGGCGGGGTGGAAGAATAAGAGAAGCTTCGCCCGATCTCGTGCCCGAACGAGCGCGAGAAAAGACCCTACAAAGGAAAAGGCAGGCCCGGTCAAGCGGTGTGGCGCCCGACCGGACGCGTGTTTCTGGAGGAAGATTAAGTGTCGTTTTAGTTTGTTTAAGCTTAGGATTTTCTAGCTTAATATAAATACGTTTTTGTTAAGCAAGTTTAGTACTTCTTAGACCTCTTCTCTTAGCTTTTCTCTCTCTACTTAGTTTTTAGATTAAACTTCTCTCATTGTTTTTCTCTCTCTACAACTCTACAACTTTATTCTTAATTCAGTCTATTATTTCCATTAACTTTGGTAACGCTTTCTTCTCTATTATTTTCAGTAATTTAAATTCTCTATTTGATCATGTCTTGTTAATTTGCTTTGATTAGTTTAGATTTAATTATGTTTGAGTAGTTTTCTTTCTAAGGTTTATGGGGATCCATAAATAATATGAGGGGGTAATTTATTATTGTTAATTGTCAATGCTTCATTAATTTCCTATTGATTGATTTAATGCTATGCAATTATATTGGGCCTAGTTTAATTGTATGAATTATGCAATATTGATTCGAGATTTTAGAGATGAGAATTGATGTTTAGGCGTAGTTTCAATAGGCAGACTAATTTATAAATAGTTAAGTCGAAATTCGAGAGATGATATTTAATACTGGTAAATTAACTATGTGATTGTAATACGTAGATAAAGCCCTTTATGATCTTATTAATTGATGGTAAATTTAGTTACTTTATAATTTAGATTATTTTAATTAATTAGGAATAGGAAGACTTGTTTCCCTTTGGTTTGACCCTTCTTCCCTATCTGCATAGTTAGAAGAATTTAGAAATTATTTTTGATTAGGTGATACGACTTTATCTTGTCAAAATTTGGAATCGTTGCCGGGGAAACGATTTTATTTTTATTTCTAATTGTTTTTGTAGTCTAGATTATTTTCCTTCATCCCAGGGAACGTGAGTTCCTTGGGATAGTTCTCATATTTTTCGTCTAGTTCTTTGTTTATGCCCAGGGGTTCCAGATCAGGCTACATCCCTTTTGATCCTGTGATTGAGTGTTCTTTTCATAGACAAAAGAATTTAAACAGGAAAATAATGGCAGGCTCTGGGCCGATATTCCTAGGGACCCTCCATCTGATTCCAGCGATTTAAAAGTTTCTTAAGAACCAGAATATGAGATGACAGGAAATACACCTAAAAAGCTCAGCGATTATTCGCAGCCGTCACTGACCGATTTTCCACATCTCAATCCCACTCTGGCTCTTGATGGAGTGCAATTCGAGATTAAACCCTAATTTATCACGATGATAGAAAGGAAGCAATTTAGTGGAGCTAAGCATGAAGACCTAAATCTTCATGTTGCAGACTACTGTCAATATTGCAATACCATCAGGCAAGCTGGGGTCACACAAGACCAAATCAGGGAGATCCTTTTTCCTTTCTCTTTACGTGGGAAGGCTAAATTGTGGTTTAATGGTTTGGATAGAACTGCACTTGGTATTACTCAGTGGAAGACTCTTGTTTTGAATTTTTATGACAAATATTATCTAGCAGAGAGGACAACTTTATTAAGGAGTGCAATTCAAAACTTTTCCCAAGAGCTAGATAAAAATTTATATAAGGCTTGGGAAAGATTCAAGGATCTGCAAAGAGAGTGTCCCCACCATAATTTAGCATAGTGGCAGTTGATCCAAGCCTTTTATAATGGGATTGGAAATTCATCTAGAACTATTTTAGGTTCTGAAGCTAGTGGGAGGTTCACTACTACAAAAATGGCCAAAGAGACCCGTCCAAAAAAGCCAAAGAGACTGCTTTAGAGGCGGTCTCTAGCTAAGCGGTCTCTTTGGCAAAGAGACTGCTTTGATGGAAGCGGTCTCTAGAATGAATAAACTAAGACCGCCTATTGCTGAAAGGCGGTCTCTAGAATGAGAAAACTAAGACTGATTATTGATGTTAGGCGGTCTCTTTTTTGGGAAAACTAAGACCGCCTATTGACCTTAGGAAGTCTTTGTTTTTTTAAAATAGAGACCGCTTATCCAACTTCACAGGTCTTTTGGGCATCATTTAAAAATAAAAAAAAAACTTATTTTATTTGATATTTAAATCGTAAATTAAAATTACATTTCATCAAAATAACTAATTGATTTTTATACATTTAATTAATTTATACATGGTATAGATTATATAGTACAAAATTATACAAAATCCATAATTACATATATAAAAATGATTAATCCTATACAATGCTTCTTCATCCCGAACTTCAACAACTCATTTGTGTAGATCTTCTTCTTTAGTTTCGAATATGAACTGATCCATTTGAGTATAAGCTACAATTAACATATAATAATTAGCTTAACCCAGAAAAAATTGTAGTTAACAACAACCTCCACCTCAAAAAAAAAATAAAATTCCAAATCCAGAATTTCAAAAGTAAATTAAAAAAAAAAAGAATTCAAATGGAGTGCCCAGAAAAAACTATTCTACCCCAATTGAGTTGATAAAATCATTAATAACCTACGAAAAATGAAAGAAAAAGTATAACTAAACAAAAAATTTTTATTTAAAAAAATTACAACAAGTTCGCTAAAATTAATCCTCTTTGTGAAATGAGATCTGACTTTTAGTTTCAACACACTCTTTCGTTTGGTTGTTTTTGTTTTTTTATGAGATCTTTCGTTTGGTATTTTAAAATAACCTTTCAAGAGTAAATCTAGTTATCCATTGTGATTTTGAGCCGATAATTGTGATTTTGAGATATATTTTCATCTAATTTAAAGATTGTAAACTGCAAGATTTTTTGAAAACATCAAATAAATTACGGAAACAAATTTCAAGAAAAATAACCCACACATTCAAATCGAAAATCAAATCATTCTATAAAAATAATATACAAAAATAAAAGATGAAGAGAAGAGAGAGAGAAAAACCTTTGAACCCAAAGAGAGAGTGTCGAGTGTTCGAGCAGGAGAATGACGAGTTGATTGCTGAAGCACCGCCGCGTGACAAGCGATGATGAGGGATATATAGGGTGAAGTTATGTTGGCGGGGCTAAGATCGAGAAGGAGAGAGTATAGGTGAAGGACTGTGAGTGAGATTAATGGAAGTGCAAAGGTTAGAGGTGGTTGGATGAATTGAAACAAAATAGAGAGAGAAAATCAGGGAAGGGATAAGAAGGAAGGAGGCTGAAAGGAATCTAGGGTTTTAAATGAGGAGGGAGTATAAAAAACGGGTTGGGGTAAAGCCCAAAAGCTATAAAGGGGATTAAAAGAGAAAATGATAAAGTAAAAAAAAAGTAGCGTGTAAGCGTGAAAAATTAGCAAGAGACCGCCTAACATAAATATGTGGTCTAATGTGCTAGATGCAGAGATCGCCTAACTTAAATAGGCGGTCTAAGGTGTTAGTGTAGAGACCGCTTTTTTAAGAACACGGGTCTCTCCATTTTAAAAATTACAAATAAAAAATTCAAGAGAGACCGGTTCTCTTTAGTAAATGGTCTTTATTAATTTTCACTTTCTTAAGGTAGTATGAGAGAGACCCAATATTGGGTCTCTTGAAACAAAGAGACCTGTTATTTAATTAAGCGGTCTCTTATCTTAGATCTCTTTAGCCATTTTTGTAGTAGTGGTTTATGAATCTTAATGTTGATGATGCAGGCCAAGTTATCGAAAATATGGAAATTCAAAATTCCCAATATGGGAATCCTAGAGGTTTTGTTAACAAAGGGAAACATAGTGTTGACTCCGTATCCTTTTTGCAAGCTTAATTAACCTCTATTTGTTAGAAATTAGATAATCTTAGTACTGCAAGTATAGCTAATGTTTCTGCTATTAATAATAATTCTAAAAATGCTTTTGTGAAAATTGTGGAATTGTAGGTCATTGGGAACAAGATTGCAAGAGTTCCGTGGAGCAAGTTAATGCCTTTCAAGCCTATAAGCAGAAAGACCCATACTCCAACACATACAATCTTGGGCTCCAGAACCATCCATATCTTTCTTGCCGGAGCACCAATGTTCAAAACTCGATACCCCCACAACAATCACAAGCACCACAACAACCACAGCAGAAATATTACCATCCCAACTCTGGCCAGAAAAGCCAACCACAACAATCCTCCTCATCTTCTAACCCTGCTTTTTCAGAAATTAGAGCGATGCTAGCTAGTACGCAAAAGCACATGGAGAGTAAAGATGCTCAAATTGATTCGATCATAGTCCATAATAAAATCGTAGATAATCAAATTGCGCAGATTTCCTCTACTCTAGAAGCCAGCCAACAGGGAGCCCTACCATTGCAGCCAACCAGACCTTCACATCAAGCTTTTGTAATTACCCTGAGGAGTGGTTCACACTATGATGAACCCCCTATGCCCAGAGATGATGAGCCTGTTTTAATGAAAAATGCTAATCTTGATTATATCAAACCAAACAAAGTTGATAATAGCCCTACAAGGCTCAAAGGTAGTACTAATATTTTTGATAATACATTGCAGGGTACAACTCCAGGAAAGGTTGCAACTCAGGATGAGAATAGCAAAGTTCAAAAGCCAGTTATCAAACTTCCATTCCCTAATCGAAATTTGAAAAACAAATTTGGATAAGCAGTTTGGTAAGTTCCTGGAGATGGTGAAAGATTTGCATGTAACGGTTCCTTTCATAGAACTAATTATACAAATTCCTGCATATGCTAAATTCATGAAGGAAATATTGACTAGGAAAAGGTCTATTAGTGAGGTAGAGACAGTCGCTTTTACTGCAGAATGTAGTGTCGTACTACAAAATAAATCTCCACCTAAACTAAAAGATCCTGGTAGTTTTTATATCCCTTGTCATATTGGCAATCTGATGATTGATAATGCATTATGTGATTTGGCTCCTAGCGTTAGTGTCATGCCGTTGTCTGTGTGTTCTCAGCTAAATATAGGTAAATTAAAAGCTACCAATATTACTCTGCAAATGGCCGACCGTTCTTTTAAATACGCCCTAGGTGTTTTAGACTATGTTCCTGTTAGAGTAGGTAAATTTTATATACCTATTGATTTTGTTGTTCATGATATGGCCGAGGATTTGCAAACCCTAATTATTTTGGGTAGACCATTCCTTAATACTGCAGGAGCAGTTATAGATGTAAAAAGTGGTAAAATGACGCTATCAGTAGCAGATGATAAAATTATTTTTAATTTGAATAATGCCCCTAAAAGCCTCATGATAGAGGAGAAATGTTTTAGTATTGACGTGGTTGATAAATGTTCTAATAAGCCCCAACTCTTGTTACACATCCCTTTGAGGCGGTATCTAGTGTTGCAACTTCTACAGGAGAAACAATTAGATGGAAAGAGGAAGTTAATGCAATAGAAAGAGCCCTTTACTGTGAAGGGCTTGGTTTTGAAGATGACAACGAGGAGAAAAGTGAGCAAGTTGCGAAAAGTGAGCTTATAGTGAGAGTTCCACCGAATCGAGTTGTAATTGCTCAATCAAGTGAAAAATAAAGGCAATCAAAGGCCAAAAAGGGTTCCCTTGTAAGCAGTAGCGAAGAACCACCTGTTGAAGCCAAGAAACATCCGCCCGATCGAGTGAGTTGGCGCCCTACCAGGCGTGTTAGGAAGCAAAGTCGTGGTCTGAAAATTGCCCGACTGGGTGACAAACCGCCCAATTAGGCGGTTAGCCAAGGATCTTAACTTCTCGATATGTGGTAAAAGGGTCGTGTGGGGCCTAGATAAACCAGCGCTTTGCGGGAGGCAACCCGTAATTTCTTGCTTTTTAGTTTAGTCTTCTTTCTTTATTTTTCTCAACGTGAGGTGAGAGGAGAGAATTTAATGAGTTATTTGAGGTTTTGTACAAGTTTGAAGGAAAGAGTTAGTCAAATTTGGAGACAAGAAGAGAAGTAAAAAATTAGACTCAAGTGTTGTGCGCCAACCGGGCGAGCTCGCGCTCGGCCAGGCGTGAGAAGAGAGTCTAAAAAGGAGGAAATCCGCCCGACCGGGTGAAGCTCTGCCCGACTGGGCACGAGAGCTAAGGAGAAAAAAATTAACAATTTTCGCCCGACCGGGCCGAGAGTTGACGAGTACGAAACTTTTACTCGTCCGACCAGGCGAGATGGCGCCTGACCGGGTGTGAGAAATGAAGAAAAAATTTGAAAGAACGCTCACCTGATCAGGCGAGCTCGCGCCCGATTGGGCGCGAGATTAGCCTTACCTGGGCCCCCCTTTCTTTTTCTTCTTCCTCCTTCTTTCTTTCCTCCTTGTTCATCTTTCCACCATTTTTTCTCTCTCTAAAAACTTGAAACCTCTACCTTCTCTCTAAGATCTTATCTCCAATTCTTACCCAAATTCAAAAAATTTTCCATATTTCTTCTCCTCTCTTCATCCTCTACATTCCTACACCAATTTTACGTAATTCCAAACAAAATTTTTACAAACCTATATTGTCAAATGGCATCAAAGAGGGCAAGAATACTAATTAGGCGGAGTTCTAGTTTGAGCCAAGCATATGACCCGAACTTGCAGCTTCCACAATGGCCTACCATTCAAATCGCGACGGAAACTCAACAAGATCGGCTAATAAAACTGTATAGGATAGCTCCCGCTGAACTATCGCCCAGCTTCTCGGGATGCGCACTCATTGCCGAGATACCAACTGTGAAGGGCTCACTAGCCCGAAGGAGTCAGCTCGTAGAGCTAAACCATGCTCAAATCTCCACGAAGGAGATCATACACCTATAAATAGAGGGCAAAGTACAACGGAAAGGAGGTCAGACACACAAGTTATTACACTCTCTACATCTCTCTAAGTACACTTTCTTTCTCTAAACACTCTCTTACTTTAGCATCAGAGGGGGGTTCCTCGAGCCATCCCGAAGGGAAGTTTACATGTGTTGCCTTGTGTAGGTTGTCGACGGGACCCAGCTCACCCAGCAGAACCCTTGGATCCACACATGGAACAATTGGCGCTAGAAGGAGGGGAAGGATCATCTAACTTGAGGTTCACCAACTGAGTTAGGAACTATCTGACAAAACACCATGGCCGGGGAGGAAGTTGTACAAACACCCATACCCAAAGCCAATGACACCAACCAAACACCACAAAAGACACCACCAGCAAATGTCGATCCTAAAGGATCCGCTGAAAAACCCAAATCTACCATCTCACAAAAATCCAACCCCATTGGATCGACGTCAGCTGCAGTTAAAGCAGCGTTGAAACCAGTCGATCCGATAGGATCTAATTCCATTTTCAAAAAAAGTATGTTGTTGACAGGCGCGAACAATGAACCCATTGTTTCAGTACCCATAGCCCAAAAACCACAACCCGTAAACATGCCAGCCATCCTGAAGAACCTCTCTAAGTGCAGTAAGGAGCAGCTGGCAGCTATGACAGCAGTCCTTGCCAACTTTGGTAAGGGAGCGAGCTCGTCAACAACAGTAGGAGCTACAGAACTGGCGGTAAAGAAGCTAACACCCACGACCCTCACCCCCGAGCATAAAGAGCTTGTTCAGCTAAGGAAGAAAGTACTGGAGTTGGAAGCTGGCAATCTGAATCGCGAATAGAGTGTGGAGGAAATAGCTCAGGCTAGGGTCAGCCCCGAAAGGCGAGTTTCTCGCAGAAGGTCACAAGCCTCTAAGCAGGGACCCATCCTAGATAAGGAGAAGCGAGCGCGGATCCAGGTTATTCAAGATGATTCCCCATTTTGTCGGGAGATTCTGGAGGAAACGATGGAGAAGATAAAGAAGCCAAGTTGCAGGTACAACAGAACCACAACGCCTAAGAGCCATATATCAGCTGTTGAGAATCACATGGTGCTTTATACCATGACAGATTCAGTTTGGTGCAAAGCATTCCAACCAACCCTAAAGGGGCTGGCTACGGTGTAGCATGGAGCCATTCTAAAAGGTTCTGTATACTTATAATTAGCTTAAAAGGATGTTCATGGAGCATTTTATAACCTTGGTAGATCGAACTAAGATGACAACTGAGCTGATGTCACTAGTTTAGGGGAAGGATGAGCCCCTGAGGGAGTTTATCACCAGATTCAGTAAGGAGGCAACAACCATCCCGAATATGAGCCAGGAGGTAGCGTTGCTGGCAATGTAGAGCGATTTTCTACCAGGCTCACCATTCAGAGCGTATATGAGGCGTAAGAGCCTTCGAACGCTAACTGAAACGCTAGGTAAAGCGCACAAGTTCATCAAGGCAGACGAAAATGACAGAGCAATGCTGAGCAGGAAGGCGCCCTGTGACCCAATTAAGCGGGCAGAGATCACCCGGACAGGGGCAGACCCACTTAGTGTCATAGTGGGTCCCGTGACACACTATTAATTTTGAAAAAAAAAAAAAATTACACTCACTCACGCATCTTTCCACTCCCAAAGGCCAAAGACCCAGAACCCCTAATTCCCTTACAACACAGCCACGCTTCCCCTAATCCCCTCTCTCTCTCTCTCTCTACTCTCTCCTCCATGGCTCCATTGAAGAATTGAAGCTTCAAGCATTCAAGCATACTCGGCTAGTCGGCTACTCGCAAAAACTCCATTGAAGGGGCGTTTGAGCTTTTTCTTCTCCACCGAATCAATCTCAAAGGAGTCAAAGGTTAGATCTTGTTTAAGTTCTTTTTCTGTAATTATTTTGGGTTCTTCAAATTTTGGTAATTGTGGGTTGATAATTGAGTCAATCATTCGAATTTTGATAATTGTGGGTTGATAAATGAGTTGATAATTGCAGGGTCGAAATTCTCCATTGAAGGGGCTTCATACTTTCACTCTTTCAGAGGCTCTGAGTCACGCCTCACGCTGAGCTTCGCTCCTTCATTGAAGCAGCCTACTGCCTACAGCCAGGTTAGATCTTAAACTCTTTACTCTTGACAATTTGACAAATGGTGTACGAATTTTTTGTTAATGGAAGTAGAAATTGAACTGGGGGTTAATCGTACTTGTATTTGTATATTTATTTTTGTTAACCGTGTATTTAATTGTAGTTCTATAAGCCTATAACTATTGTGTATTTGTGTAAATTGTGCTATTTTAGGGAATTATGGTGGTATACTGGCTTACTTCCTGTCTCACTGTCTGCCTTACTGGTTTCGGTGGTGGTGCAGGGAAGGGGTCAAGGGGAGGGGGTGGCTGTGAAATTGGGCAAAATTGGTTATCAAAGACTCAAAGAGGCCAACTTTACCTTTGACAAACCCTTTACACTAGTTGATTTAGTCATGTTTTATAACTTGTTGATGTTGATTTGTTGGTAGAGAAAAAGTAATTAGAGAGTATGATGGATTAATAATAATTTGACTTTATAAAAGAAAGGTTAACGAAAATGGGTGGTAGTTGTTTGTATGAAATTTCTTACAATGTTCATTGATTCTGTTTTTGATTATATGCTATTTTTGTGATAGTTGGATTAATAGAAATGTTATAAAAGAAAGGTTAACGAAAAAGGGGGAAGTGTGTGAGCGTTTTCTTGGTATTGTGCATGTTCCTAATACTAGTTCTTTGACTCTAAAAGCTGCTATTGAGTCATTACTCATGGAACACTCTTGAGCTTTCTCTCAAGTTCGAGGTCAGGGTTATGATGGGGCAAGTAATATGCAAGGTTCAATCAATGGCCTTAAAACTCTAATTTTGAATGAATGTTCTCAAGCATACTTTGTTCATTGCTTTGCTCACCAACTTCAATTGACACAAGTTGCTCTTGCTAAGAAAAACTCAGATTGTGGTTGGCTTTTTATTGATGTACTTACACCTCTCTTGAACTTTGTGGGAGGTTCACCTAAGAGGAGACAATTTCTTCAAGAAAAACAACGTCAAGGGGTTGTAGAAGCATTGTCCTTGGGTGAAATTGAATTGGGAACTGGTTTAAATCAAGAACGTGGCTTATGTAGACCTTGTGATACTCGTTGGGGATCTCATTTTAAAACCATTTTGAATGTGCTTGATTTATATCCTTCAATACTTTTGTCACTTGATTCCATTGCAAAAGTATCTGATACACTTGATTCGAATAAAGCACAATCTATTACACACTTGTTGATGTCATTTGATTTTGTGTTTGTGGCACACTTGATGGTTGATATATTTTGAATTACAAATGCGTTGAATGTGGCATTGCAAAAACATGATCAAGATATTGTCAATGCAATGGTCATGGTTGATGTAACCAAGACTAATTTGCAAAAGTTAAGAGATGAAGGATGGGATTCACATATGGAAAAAGTCACTTCTTTTATGGCTAAATATGACATTGAGGTTCCAAACATGGAGGGGCAGTATATTGTTCCTGGGAGAAGAATGTATAGAGGTAAAGGTCCACATGTGACTAATATTCATAATTTTAGAGTTGAAGTCTTCCTAAGTGTCATTGATCTTCAATTACAAGAACTTGAAAATCGATTTCCCGAGGTAAGTAAGGAATTACTTGTGTGTATGTCTTGCTTTAATCCTGCAAATCGGTTTCATTCTTTTGACAAAAGAAAGTTAGTTCAACTTGCCAAATTTTATCCCGATGAATTTTCAAGCTCTGAGTTATTATTTTTTGAACATTCACTTGAAAATTTCATTGTTGATGTTCGAAATGATGAGAGATTTTGGAATTTGAAAAGTCTAAGTGAACTTTCTACGAAACTTGTTGAGACGGGAATGTTTGAAACTCATGATCGAGTCTACTTACTTTTGAAGTTAGTGTTGATTATTCCCGTTGCAACGGCAAGTGTAGAAAGAGTATTTTCTGGAATGACGCAAGTAAAAGATAAATTGCGTAATAGCATGGGAGATCAAATGTTGAATGATTGTTTGATTACTCATCTAGAAAGAGATTTGTTTTACAATGTTAGCATGGATGATATTGTACATCGTTATCAAAATATGAAAACTCGTCGAGAGCAATTGTAATAAAATTAGTACTTTTTTAGTTGTAATATGAATTTGAATTACTTTATGAAATGAACTTTTTATGTATTTTTTTTGTTCATTATTCAAGCTTTGACTATATTTTGATATTTTATGCGGTCGGTGGACGATGATGGGATGTGAAAAATTGTACTTTCACAAATGATCAATAATTGATGGTGACACACTATCTCGAAAATCCTGGATCCGCCACTGCACCCGGACATAAAACGCAGCCAGGGTTGACCAGCCAAGCAGAGTTGAACAAAGCCGCAGAGAGGAGGATAAAGCTTTAAGGGTGAGAAATTTAGATCCGAAGAGAGGAGGAAGACCTGGAAGGTTCGACCAATATACCCACTCGAGGTCTCACTTCTTCAGCATGAACAAAGCCGAGGATAAGTGGTAGAGACCCCCAAGGATGGTTAATAGGAATCGTCATCCCAGCAATTGGTTAGCCAACGTGGTCATTGAGCCTTGTAATTATCCAGAATGGTTAGCCAACGTGGTCATGGTGAAGAAGGAAAATGTCCAGTGGAGGATGTGTGTTGATTTCACCGACCTCAACAAAGCCTGCCCGAAAGACTACTACCCGCTGCCACGAATTGATCAGCTTGTAGATTCAACTAGTGGGCATGCTCTGCTGAGGTTCATGGATGCCTTCTCAGGGTACCATCAGATCAGCTTGCACAACCCGAACAGACAAAAAACCACATTCATCACCGAAGGGGGAGTGTACAATTACATAGCTATGCCCTTCAGGTTGAAGAATGCTTGAGCGACGTTTTAGAAGACAATGGACAGAGTGTTCATGCACCAAAAGGGTAGAAATTTTGAGGTGTACGTGGACGACTCAATCGTCAAGAGCGTCACACAAGTAGGGCATATCATGGATTTGGAAGAAACATTTTCCACCCTGAGAAAATATAACATCAAACTCAACCCGAAAATGTGTCTTCGGGGTGAGCTCAGGAAAATTCTTAGGCTTCCTGATCAGTGAGAGGGGAATAGAAGCAAATTCGGAGAAGGTTGAGGCACTCCTAAGCCTATTTGAGCCTAAATGCATCAAAGACATCATGCGATTGACATGCAGAATGACCGCGATGACCAGGTTCATCAGCAAGTCAGCCGACAAAGCTTTGCTGTTCTACCAGCTGTTGAAAGGGAACAGGAAATTTAAGTGGGGAGCCGCAGAAAAGGAAGCTTTTGAGGGTATTAAGGAGCATCTGACTAAGCTCCCAGCTTTTGAGGGTATTAAGGAGCATCTGACTAAGCTCCCAACAATGATCAGCCCGGAGTTGAAGGAAAAATTACAATTATACATTTCTGCGTCAATTCAGACAATCGCAGCCGTTCGCCTGGTGGAAAGACAAAAGCAGCAAAGGCCAATATATTTTGTAAGCCACGTGCTAACCGAGGCAGAGCAAAGGTACCCATTGGTGGAGAAGTTGGCCTTTGCAGTGGTAACAACATCAAGGAAACTGAAGCCATATTTTGACGCGCACATAATTCAAATCCTCACAAATCACTTGTTGGAGAAAGCGTTACAGAAAACGGACGCGTCAGGCAGACTCCTGAAGTGGGCTATTGAGCTCTCCGAGTATGAATTTGAGGTCAACCCAAGAGCAGCTATCAAAGCGTAAACCTCATTGAGCGGCCTTATCAGACTTCATTGTGGAAGCCTCGTACGAGGAGAAGGAAGATGATATTGGTATCTGGAAGGTGGAAGGTGGAGGTAGATGGATCATCAGCCCAAACAGGGAGCGGAGCAGGGATTATAATTACATCCCCAGAGGGAAATGTATTCGAGTATGCCATAAAAATTTAAATTCAAGGCATCAAACAACGAGGCAGAGTACGAGGCAGCTCTGGCAGGCCTACGTATGAGTATAGCAGCCGGAGCCAGGAAAGTCCATCTGCAGACTAACTCCCAGCTTGTCGCCAGTCAGCTGAGGGGGGCGTATGAGATTAGGGAGTCCACATTGTTGAAGTATGTGACCAAGGTGAAGGAGCTGGCCGCTCAGCTAGTCCACTTCCAGATAGACTTGGTCCCTAGAGTAGGAAATTCACAGGCCGACACATTATCCAAGTTACCTAGCTCCACCCTGCAGAGCCTCACAAGGACATTGATGGTGGAAGTCCTGGAGGAAAGCAGCATAGCTGAGAAAGAGCAGGTGAACTACATTAGACAACAACGGGCATGATTCACAAATATACTAGAATACAAAGTTCATGGCTCGCTGCCTGACGATGAAGTACATGCTAAGAAAGTGAAAAAAGATGCCAACTGGTACGTGGTGATGAACGGAGAACTCAACAAGAAAAGTTTCTCAAAGCCACTGCTAAGGTGTATCCCAGAGTGGCAACATGAGAATATAATGGAAGAAGCACACTCAGGAATATGTGCCAACCACATTGGTGGAAAAGCATTGGGAATAGAAGTTCTCAGAATGGGTGCATATTGGCCAACTCTGGCTCAAGACGCGCTAGCATATGTGAAAAAGTGCGACAAGTATCAAAAGTGCTCTCCAGTCATAAACGAGCCGGCAAATGATCCGACCCCAATTTTCAGCCCGATTTCGTTCGCTCGGTGGGGAATGGACATATTTAGATCGTTCACCACTGGGTCAGCGGGCAGAAAGTAACTCATAGAGGCGGTGGACTATTTTACTAAGTGGATAGAGTCCAAACACACCAAGTACATAAAGGCAACCCAAGTGAGGACGTTCATATGGAAGAACATCATCACAAGGTTTGGGATGCCACAGTGCATAGTCTTTGATCACGGATGCCAATTTGACTACGACACAATCAAGGATTGTCTGGAGGACATGGGCACTAAGTATGGAAGTGCCTCAATCTGCCACTCGCAGAGCAACGGTCAGGCTAAAACAGCAAAGAAGCTGATCTTAACAGCCCTACAGAGAAAGCTGGAGGAGCACAAGGGCCTATGGGCTAACCTAGTCCTAGAGGTGTTATGGGCAAACAGAACCACTGAAAAAGAGTCCACTGGTAAAGGCCCTTTCACTCTAGCCTACGGGGCCGATGCAGTTGTCCCAGTGGAAGTTCAAATCCCCAGCTTGAGGTTACAACACTACAAAGCATAAGGGAATGAAAAGTGCATGTTGGAAGAGCTAGACTTCCTGCCGGAAGTAAGGCTACAAGCAGCCCTCAAGCTGGCAACCCAAAACAGCAAGATCTCCAAGGCTTTCAACAAAAGGGTCAAGCACAAGAAAATCCTACCTAGAGATTTGGTCCTCAGAAGGACAACAGCAGTAGGAAGAGGAAACAAGCATGGAAAGCTGTCATCCAATTGGGAAGGCCCCTTCATCATTCATGAGCAGGTAGGACTTGGTGCATTCCTCTTTGCAGATCAAGAAGGTTAGGTCTTAAGGAATAGTTTCAATGCTGATGTGTTAAGGAAATATTTTGTTTAAAAATGCGAGAAATTAAGTAGAAATAGGGATAATTGTTTTAATTTTGCAAAGAACTCAGTATAGTACAGTTCATGTTATGTCAACTAAGGCATTTGAGCCATTTTAATTCAATGAAATACAAGCCTCTACGTGAGCAGTATACTGTATACACTTGTTTAGATATACCATGCTTTAGCATCATATACTAACATGCAGAAGTAAAAAAAAAAAAAAAAAGAGAGAAATTAAGCATGCAAGTGCTGAGGGCAGAAAGCACCCTAGCATGAAGCAGCAAAACAGCGTTAAATGGCAAAAAAAAAAAAAAAACTATCCCTCCCTAAAATCTCACCTTACATGCTTAAAGTAAAATAGGGCACCACCTCGGGGACGCCTGAGGGGGAGGCCTGGCACATTCAACTTGAGTAGGAAAGGGCAGTGAGAACGAAGAAGATGAGTTGTGCGGGAACACTAAGGTTCTCTTAGTCCCATCCTGCTCACCTCTTTGTGGTGGAGATGAGGAGGAGATAGATATATAATAAGCCCTTACGAAGAGAAGTAAGAGGCACAAAATAACAAGTCGCAGCATAAACAAGCTGAACGACATAAACATGTCACAGCAAAACAAGCTGAATGACAGATATTGAGCAGCCAAAAAGCTGATTGACACAAGTAAGTCTTAGCAGAGTAGACTAGATAATGCCCAGGCAGGCAACAATCGAATAAACTAATCAACATGCAAACAAGTCTCTACAAAAATTAAGTAGAGTATACAATGCCCAAGCATCCAATGCAAACAGGGCAGGAAGAGTAAAACGCATCGAAGTTCCTTCTAAACACAGTAGAGAACAAGAAAGCAAGAGAGCCCTTGGCAGCCAAATCAGGAAAATAGGAGGACCAACCTACGAGGCTTTGCTAAACGCAAAAAAGAGGCTGATGTGCTAAGGTCTAGGTACTACTACACCTTGGCCCAACAGCAGGTCCACACAAGCACGCATGCTATAAAATAATCAACAGGTAAAATAGTAGAAAAATCACCAAATACATACAACACAAGGCTGAACCTCTGCCCACCAGGGCAGAGTAAACATTCAGCAAGGAAAGTTGTAATAGCTACAAAGCTGAACCCCTGCCCACCAGGGCAGAGTAAACATCAAGCAAGTTAGTTACAATGTATGCAAAACTGAGCCCTCGTCAACTAGGACAAGGAAACACTCAGCAAATTAAGTCAGAGAAACATAAATCCAGGTCACGCTGGACAGGCCCAGCAGCAAAAGATAAAGTATTCTGAAAGGACGCATGAAAATATAATCTTTGGCGGCTATACACCCCAAAGACAGCCACAAAAGCTACCTAGTCACTACAGATCTGGGTGAAGGAAACTCAGAAGAACCACTGAAGTAGGAAGGTGACAGCCGCCATAACCTTTATTGCCCACCAGCCAAGGAATCCACCCCAATAGCCGCATCAATGTCAGGCCAGAGGAAAACCTCTAAGTTCAGCACATCGTGGTCAGGTACCTTGCAGTGAGCAGCACGGGGATGGTTAGCAGGCAACTCAAATAAGTCAGCCTCCCCAGTAGGCTCTACCTTAGCCCAGAAGGTGTTAAAGCGCGCTTGCTGCTCCGCACATTCACCATACAAGCTGCTCACATAGCGGGCTGTAGCCTCCCAGCCACCGTCATGACGATCAGCCAATAACTTAGCAAAAGCAGGGGAGAGCGCGAAGGTATTAAGCGCCTCCTTCCTAGCAGTTTCCAGATCGGTCACATGCCCGGCCCGCAGATCAGCAATCTTTGCTTCCAATGCCTGAACCCTGGCCTGAGAGGCTAATAGCTGCTCCTCGTAGCTCGCCAGCTTGGTCTGGGTGAGCTGAAATTCTCCCAACTGAAGTTGTAGGGCGTTCGCCCTCTCCCTTAGAGGAGTCACCTCACTGATAGTAGCATCCTTCTCAGCACGAGCCTACTGAACCTCCAAATCCTTCTAAGAAAGAATCAAGCCTTGATTCTGATACTCCTTCTCCACTGAAAGCAGGACATTGGACAAATCTCCAACAGACCTGACTAGCTTCAGAAAAGGCAAAGAAAGAAAAGGGTAAGCCAAAATAAGAATCAATTAAAAAAATAAAATAATAAGCAAAAGAAGGAAGAAAAACCAGAATCAGAGAAGAGAAAGCTAAAAGCAAGAACTAACCTTCTGCAAGTCATGATAAGCCGTAGCAGCAGGAAGACCGACTGAGCTGCGCGTAGAAGCCCTTCTGGGGGGGTCGTCCACGAACAAGGATTCATCATCTCTCACATTCATCCCAGGTCGAAAGGGAGCATTCTCAGCTCCAACAGGACACAGTATGGGGCAAAGATGGATAT